GATATTGCATTTGATCTTATTGTTATTATGATTCCTGTCTGTAATAYATACTTATATTCCTCTTATATAGGTTTTTTTCATTTATCAATTTGCATAACCACATGTATATTAMAGGTCATRGYCGTGTGTACCCAGGCGTTCCAACCGCTCAAACTTCCTTGGAACGGCTGGGAAGGCCTAGCTATGCAGGGTATCAAAAAGAAGGACTAGACAGCCTTAGCTGGCTTGATTGGGTCTTTATATGCAGTGCTTAKGAAATAATACTCATCTTTCCACTTTGTTTTCAGTATCTATAGACACACAAAGAGCCATTCCACGAGAACTGTTTTTTAAAACTGCTATTTTGCAATAAAGCAATATTTCTGAATTAAAAAGATCTAATAAAGATAGGTTTTATACATGTTTTATATGAAAATGAAAAGCACGTGTATTAAGCAGGAAAATAAAAATAAAAACCAACCTAAAAACAGTAGGTTGATCTTGGTTTGATTTATGCAACAGTATCATCATCATCATCATCATTCCTGTTACGCCTAGGTGGCATGTAGGGCCGCTACTAAGAATTTCAATGCAACAGTATACAACGATATTATTTTCAACTTCATCTTAACAGTCGCGTAACTAAAAACTACAAGAATGGTTTTTTTTCTATATTGATATTGATTTCTATATTGATTACATGCTCTCACAGTTTTATTTCAGGTGACTTTTTTCAATTTCGCGTTGAAGTAAGAAGTATGGTTTTTGCGTAGAGATCAAAYCGTTTTGTTGCTTGCATGTCAATGGCTTACCTTCATAGCGACAATTGGAATCCTGTATCGATTGCTTGATTACCTTGCTGAGTTCTGCTAATCGTAACTCGATGAGGGTCAGTTGTGCTGTCTATATAACTGCGGCAACCATGCCACAAATGTATACTGCGTTGTGAACTTACCGCAAATTATAAAAAAAGTCACTAAGCTGTTTGGGATCGAATATATATAAAAAATCAAATGACATTCATAGATACAGTATTTTATTGATTTTTTTTTTCGGCAAAATTCTGAAAGCAATCAAGGAATCGATATGGGATTCAATTCTYATCGTAAGCTGTCAAWTAAGTGAACTGGCGGGGAGTGATTCGATCTCTATGCAAAACATTCTTCTCAGTTYAAGGTAAATATCAAATAGTAGTCGAGTGATTTACTTGAAATGAAACTTTGAGAGCATCTTGCACATACTTATAAGG